TATATTTGCAGTAATGACCAAACAGTGGACAGTTCTTCGAGGTAGGTATAGTGTGGGTACAGGCTTGGTTCAGACGCGGTGGCTCAAAGTGATCAGCTCAAGCTCAGAGGATGAAGAGCTTCTGGAGCAGCTCGAGGTCCTTGGCTTCCATTTGCATAAGGAAGTTGGCGAATCCCGGAATGATTTGCTTATAGACATTGATAACCTGCGTGAAGAAAACATGAAGTTAGCATAGGTCGGGTTATGGGGTTCTCGGGTTGAGACTTACTTTTTGAAAGGCGTCATGCAACTCTGCCACAGCAGGCTTCTGCAGGGTGAGCTCCTGGTAGTTGGCAATTGTGCTAAAGTAGTGCAGTAAAACGCTCTCCATAGCCTGGGGGTTGCGAGTAACCACTTCAGTAAAGCCCCGGAGTGCTGTGGCCTTCTCTTCAGAAGGATCAACATCGTCCATTGTGTCGAGGAACTCCTCAGCGAAATTGCCAAGATGTGGTGCCACAAGTTCGGCGTTGGCAAGTCCTAACCTGCCCAAGGCAATGGCAGCGTTTTCGCCAACACCTCCGGGTACTCTGGGGTTGGAGAGGATGTCAACGCATCGCGAGAGGAGCTGAGGCACAAATGGCGCCATTCCTGCCTTGTACTGAAGAGCAATCTCACCAACACTCCAGCAGGCGTTGTTGATAACGCTGAAGCTGTTGTCGACCTCCTCATCCAGGATAGTCTCCATATCCAAGCGCTTGATCACAACCGGCATGATGTTGGGCAGGAAAGGCTTGAGCTGTTCGAAGACGTACTTGGCACAGTCACCGAGGAGAGCGTATGCCGATTGCTGAACTGCATCAGATTGATCCCCCATGCACAGAGCCATTAGCTCGAAGAATGTTGGCTGAGCGTTGGCAACAAGCTTTGAAGCCTTGTCGTTGTCCAGGCCTTGGATGATGGCACTCAGAAGATCGAGGCTGGTGACCAGGAAATCCTCATCAGGTTGATCAAGGTCAGGGTTGGTCTTGGCCTTCATGGCCTGCTCCAGGTTTTGGTGGATGATTCTGATACACCTGGCAAAGATAGGCTCGGCGTAAGGGGCGAAGGCATCGCCAAGGGCCATGGCAACGTAGGAAAGGCACTCGAGCAAGGGGAAAAGCTCCCGAGACTCATCGCCCACCTTCTGCCATCTGTCGAGCAGGACTGGCATCAACTGGCTGCTAAGCTCAGGCCTAGCCAGGACGGGGCCGATGTGCTCAGCCAGCGTTTGAACGCAGTCGTAGAGAACCCACATATTCTTATCCTTGTACTTGCCGAAGCATCGGATGTATTGCTGGATGATGGGTCCGCAGTAAGGCTCGAGCGCCTTGCCTGCCTTCTCTTCTAGGTTCGCCATGGCGGAGGCACCAGCCTCCTGGACGTTCTTGTTCTTGTCAAGCATCTTCTTGAGAATTCCGTCCATCATAGGCAGGAAGTATCTTTCCTTTTCTGCCGGATCCGTAAGGCCAACCGCCCACGCCGAGTATCGGCCAAGGGTCCAGCAGGTAATCTGGCGAACCACCGGCTCTTCGTCGTCGAGGAGACTGATAAGATAAGGCACCAGTTCTCGAAGGTGGGGAACGACCACGTCCATGCAGCCATCAGCAACAGCACCAAGGGCGAGCACAGCCGCTTCTCTATAGGACCAGTCCGCGTGCTTGAGGTTGCTCTGCAAATAGGGTAGGATAGCGGTGAAGACTGGTCCGCCAAAGTCGCGAGCAAATACATCAAGTGCTGCCGCCGAGCACTTGCGGAGAGTCCACTTCTCATCGGGGTTCTCATCTCCCTCGGACTCGTCGTCGTCGATTTCGCCATCTTCCAGGTCGTCGTCGTCTTCCTCCATGCTCGCCACCTTCTCGAAAGCGTTTCCGTTCTTCGCCATGTCAGACGCCGTGTTTCCGTTAGCAGCACGGGTCAGCTTCTTCTTGGCGAACTGTGGCTTAATGTCCTCCTCCCTATCATCTTCGTCCTCGTCGTCTGAAGCACCTCCAAGTATGGCAATATCCTCAGGACTATAGACCATGCACTCTAAAAGTACGGGGATGATGTCTGTGATGTACGGCTGCAGGGCCTGCCACAGGTTGTCGTGCTCTCCGACAGTCAGCCAGAACTCAGCAGCCTCAGTGGCGAGATCCTCGTCGTCGCCCTTTTGTTGAGAGATTATGTACTTGGCCAGACCTTCGATATGTGGCAGAAGCTTGTCCGGGCGGGTTTCCACCAGGTTCACAAAAGCACGACAGACCTGTTTCCGAACATCGATTGAAGGGTCTTCAGCCAGAGCAAAGAGGTGCTGTAGAAGGTCATCTATCGAGTTCAGCATGGCCTGCGACTTCCTAGGGGTGAACACATTGATGGCTGTGAGAGCATGGGCGCGGACTTTGGGAATCGTGCTCCGGGTCGCCTGGATGAGCTTGGGAAGGAGGAAGTTGATAGGTCTTTGGCCGTTGTGTTCCCTTTCCAGCATCTTGGCATTGTCTTCGCAGATCTTTGCCATGGCGGCCATAGCTCCCTCCTGCGCCTCGGGCGTTACCTGACCAGACTCGTTGGTCAACATCTTGAGCAACTCCGGCAGAAACTCGGGCCAGCCGTAGATTCCTCCCCTGTTGATCAGCTCAGTCGCAAGGGTGCCTGCGTGACTGCGGATCTGTGAGTTCTTGTCCTGAAGCCCCAAGGGGACGGCCAACTTGACGAGAGCCAAGCTCTGTTCTGGAATCTTGTCATAGCTGTTCTTGATGTTGTTTTTCAACATCAGCGCGGCGGCACAGCGCACCATATGCCAGTCCGAGGCGGTCGCTGGAAAGACCGGGGGTGGTTCCGAGCTCGAGATAATGAGGGCCAAGTAGTTGTTAATATCGGGCGACGCTTTTGCTTGGTTAAGCATCTGGTTGATGGATACAAGTTAGAATCTCTGTCTTGGGGGCAATACTCGAGCAAAGTCCACCTAGCCACCGAGGGATGTCAACTCACGATTTCAGCCTGCTTCTGGGCCGACTTGTTGAAAGCGCTGAGGGAGTCCTTCAGACATTGTGCCAACGTCTTCAGGTTTTCTCCATTCGGTTGCCAAGCCATGGTGATGGTTGGGGTTCAAGTCACACAGGCGCGTGACGTCGACGATGTGTTGTGTTGGTGGTGGCAGCGGTTGGTGAGTTCTCAAACTTTGATATCTCGTAGCTGACGAGAACTAGAACGCTGATGTGGCCGATACCGGTTGAAGTGCTGAAGAGTCGAGCGCAAGATCGGGAGGCGCAAAAAAAGGGTAGCCGACTCGGATGAACTCTTTGTCAATGCAAGTTGTGTAAGAGACGCCGGGTCACCACAGCGCAGCCTTCAAGCCAGAGCTTCTCTTGAAAGTTCGTTTAGTTGGAGCTGGTCATGGGTAGTCGCATCTGGCAGGCCGACGGGTAGCAAGAGGAGCGGACAATAATCGGCAGTTTGTCCTCGGGAAGGAAGCAGGGTGTTGTTTCGCGATGGAAGATATCCAGGAGCAATTGCCAGACAGCACTGGATGGTGGTCGTGGGTGGGCGGCGGGCAAGGCTCGAGCAGGGCAATGTTTAATGTGGGGTGCAAGTGGGGCCTTGGCTGGCCTCTATTTTTTGCTGTGGCCGTCAAGTTTCGAGGGGAAGGGGAAACTTTGTTGAAGACCAGTGCCCGGGCCCTGCACATCTGCACTGACACTCGGAGTGCGGTGCAGATGCCAAGCCTCCCGTCTGCTAATGTAGGAGATGCAGGCCTGTCAAGAAATGGTGGCAGGTGTGGTCACTGGCTCTGTGTGGGCGGTCGTAGCTTCTGTCGAAGAGCGGGGCCGGGGCCGCCCCTTACGCTCGATGAGGTCGTCCCTGTACCTACTAAGGCGGCCACCCGCTTCGACGGTTGCACAACCACCCCCCTTTGATAATGATAAGCTTTCTGCTACGTACGCGCCTTGATATTGATGGCACAGTTACAGCAGCAAGTCATTAATGCCCGAACCGAAACAGAAGATGGCACAGATGAAGGACACTCATTCAGGAGGAGTCATCGGCACAGCTTTTGGTGTCGCAGTCGATGAGACGCCTAGCCTTTGGAAGCTCAAAAGGCTGGGAGAAGATTCAATACTTTGGGTTCATCTCATTCCCAGTTTGTGGCCCGTCCGTCTGTATCAGGTCAAGCTTGGTTGAAGAAAAGCCGGGTTTATATGCGTTGCCTGGATTGTTTGGATGGTAGTATTGGTACCTGTAGGTAACATCTCGCGCAGGTGGCCTCTGTTTCTGGGCCAAGGGCCGGCTTGATGCTCTTCCACATCTTCAACTGGAAATGGGCTTCTAGACCGCTTCCCGTCCTTTGGAAACTAGATGACAAGCTTTCTTCATCGCTTGTTTGGCTCCTCTTTCTGTATAAGCCGCATGATGTCCATCACAGGCAGGACACCAGTCGTTTTCTTCAGACCGACCAGAGACATGGAACTTGGATGTCGTCACAGGGTCCACGACACAGTTGCTGTGCAACAGACGGCTGAGACCTGCCAGACTTGCCAGGTCAGGTTTGTGAGCCAACAATCCCAAGGCCATGTTCGATGTGTCCAAAAATGAAGCTGAAGATAGCACACCCTGCCGGATCATATAGCCAGGACTTCCAGTTTCCGAACCTCTCCGTTGATCTCTGAAGGCTACTTGCCGTCGGCCATGCCCCATCGGGATATCGTGCCAGTCCATATCGCTACCAATACCCGACATGTATCAAGCAGGTAACCGAACACGAGTGACAGTTCCGTGGCCTTCTCGGGGCATGGATCGTGGGGGATAACGGTCCTTTGTGGCACACCCAAACAAGGCGAATAGGTTAGGCAAGCTCGATCTAAGCGTTTGCAGAAACTCGTCAAGAAGGGAACTGGCGGAATCCCCTTGGCCAAGAGGCCGAGGTGTTTGTGTGCTACAGCTTGTGCCCGTCAACAGTAGCGAGAGAATGTAGTAAGGGGAGGATTTTTTTTGTCGAAGTTCGAGGCTCAGGACTGGACCCCATTGGGCGTCGCGTTGGCAGACTTGAGTTTGGACAGGACAAGCTCGGCCACCTGTTCGAAAGCTTCCATCTCCTCTTCAACGGTCCCGCCAAGGCCAGCGCTGGCAAAGCTCACCGAGTTGCCCACGTAGGTAGGCAGTTGCGTCCTCCTTGTGATCAGCTTTGCCAGTCGGGTGGTAAACTCCAACGTAGGTTCAACCGTACAAAGAGGTGTTGACAAAGGCTGTGTCGGATTGTATCTCTAGGTCAATGTCAGTCCGTGCTGCCAATATCAGTTTGGGAACGGGTGGTCAACTCACATCCGGCAGCGCATAAACAAATGACCCCAGCGGAGTGGGTGATGTGGCCTCTTCAGCCGAAGCTGTTGTGAGGAAAATTACAACGGCCTTGGACTTGACTGTCAATTGCATGTAGATGCGCGTGCCCAGGGATCGCGGCAAAGGAAGCGAGAGCTGGATAGGGGCATCCATGATGTCCGTGGTGATCTCAGCTATCGAAGAGCCCGAGGACAGTTGCAGCCTTTGATTATAGTTTGCTTGACTATGGTAGAGGTACCAGGGCTGGATGCGAATGCAGGAGTTGGCAGATTCGAGATTAGCGGTGGTTCGTCCGGATTGATGTTCAGCTTGTAAGTGTTCAAGTGGGAAGGAACAGACGACGGAACGGGAGTGAGATGAAGACGGAGCTGGTCTCGGCGGAAGCGAGGATTCGAGGTTGGAAGTGGAACTCAAGATGCGGCCGGTGAGACCCACGGCAGCCCGGAGTAGGTGAAACTGCAGGGGCTTGCACCTTCTGTAGCAAAGAGTTTACAGCGCATAGAGCCTGCAGTTTCCCGTGCGATTGCCGCCTCCGGAATTTCCCCGATGGCATTCAAAGTGCCAAACCGCCCGGCAAGAGCAACATGGTGCCATTGTGCATTGGGGCAACTGCTCCTTCCACCTCACCATTACATTGATGATGAACAGTATTGCAGGAACAAACCAATGCAGTGCAGCATGGTAATTTGCTGAAATGGAATGTCTGTTGCTTTCACTCTTATGACTTGCATTGTTCTCCCAGCCTCCAATGACTGAAGCGGAAGTCTCACGGCAGATGGAGGACGATATGAATCAATAATCCGCTCGTAACCGGCCCGGCAGTCACAGGAGACGACCGTGCCGACCTCCGCGCCGAGACTCTTCAACTGTAGCAAAAGGCGCGGCTCCGATACTGGCCGTCCATATCCACCACACCCAACATCGACTACGCGTCTCCTCGCACTGATACCTCAAGCCGTTTGTACTTGTGACGAGTATCTTTTTGTCATATCACTTTGGCCACAGGATACGCAGAACTTGAGAAAACACAGTTGCCCGGCGGCTTTAATCGCGCCTTCATCGTTCAAAAGGTCTGAGAAGCTCCAAGGTTGCGACTCATTCACAAATTACGGAACATATCTATCTCTAAAGTGAAGCTTGAGATGGAGGAAAGCGAGCAGCAGTGGAAAGGTGTTGAGAACGCCATCGAAGACCCGGAGGAGGCAAGAGTCATATATTGTGCACTCGACTCATTTGTGTCAGTAGAACCCCCCGTCACTTCATCTGTTCACCTCTGGCCTCGAACCCGGTCCACACCCTCGCAACTCTCGTTCTTTGCTTGGTCATGTTCCGGCAGAAGACGCAGTTACTCTCGGTTTCCGTAGCACGGCGCCGTGAACTGCCATGGCCCGGTCCCATGACCGGCAGATCCGGCTTTGTTCACCATACTAGTCAAGCCTATTCGAAGTCCTGAATACATTTGCAAATTCCCTATTACTGACTTGTGAGTAGTCAATATGCCAGGGTAGCACATTTCAACTGCACTCACTTGAGGAGGCAGTCCTTCTATGCCCTTCCCGAAGCACACTGGAAGATGCTGGCAGCGCCACCCTTCAACTATCTGGACACTCTGGATAAGGTTGACGATGCCATCGAGTCCAACGCTGAACTAGCACGCGCCATAGTCCGCGTAGGTTTGGTCAATTTTCAACCACAGGATGTCACGCAAGGTAGCGAACCCGCAATCCCTCCGCGATGGAGGGGCTCCGCAAAACGTTTGGATATCGACAAGGCCCGTAGTACTCTCAGGCAGTTCTACCGGGACTGGACCGTCGAGGGCGCCTCGGAGCGCCAGATTTGTTTTGGCCCAATCTTCCGCGCCCTGGAAGCACAAAAGGAGTCAAGGCCAAAAGACGCGCCGCCCATGAGGGTGCTTGTGCCTGGGGCAGGGCTGGGCCGCCTTGTCTTTGAGCTCTGCGCCAAAGGGTACGTCGCTGAAGGCAATGAGATATCTTACCATCAGCTACTGGCCTCGTCTTATATCCTAAACTGTGTCGAAAAGCCAGGGCAACACACTATCTTCCCCTGGATTCACACTTTCTCCAACCATTCGACGCGGGATAACCACCTGCGAAGCTATGCCGTCCCAGACGTGCACTGTGCAGCCGAACTGACACGGTTGGAAAACGAGGGAGTCGCCAGTGGAGAAATGAGCATGACTGCTGCTGATTTCCTATGCCTTTACACTGAAGACTACCAAGCCGAAGCATGGGATGCGGTAGCTTGTGTCTTCTTCCTCGACACCGCCCCGAACCTGATTCGATACCTTGAAACCATCTTTTACTGTCTAAAACCTGGCGGCCTGCTCATCAACCACGGTCCGTTGCTCTGGCACTTCGAGAACAATGCGCCTGGCGCACATGGGCATGACGACGATGAGAACGATTATGATACCACCGGGATTGCGGACCCCGGCAGCTTTGAACTCTCTGATGACGAGGTTATGGCGCTGGTTGCAAAGGTCGGATTCGAAATCGTCTCGCGCGAGATCGGCGTCGAATCACCCTATCTTTTGGACCAGGAGTCTATGCTGCAAACAGTGTATAAGGCGAGTTCATGGGTGGCACGCAAACCACATACCACCGCATAGGGCATGATTCGCCTCTCAAGAAATCATAACTGAATATGAAGGCTGCCACCACGAGCTCTACGCATACAACATATGTACATAACACAAGGCTACAACCGCTCATGAACCAAAAAGAAAACAGGAATGTTACAACATACCCCCCTATCGTCTCAAAAGATCTAGCTGAACTCGTCTTCTCTTCATACAAAGCACCAACTTACAACTTCGCCTTCTCCTCCACATTCAACTGTCCCCTCGCCCACATCGCACCACCATCAATCGCAATCGTCGCACCATTCACGTGCGCACCCGCCCTACTCGCCAGGTACACCACAACACCGGCGATATCCTCCGGCCTTCCCAGCCTCTTCATCGGGTTCGCCGCCGCAATGCTCTCCTTGCCACCGCTCATATCCAACAAGCCGTTGCTCATCTTGGTCGGGAAGAAGCCCGGGCAGATGTTGTTCACTGTGATATGTCTGGGCCCCAGCTCCACCGCCAGATTCCTCCCCAAGTGAATCACCGCCGCCTTGGAAGCGCTGTACCCGTACGTGCCCTGCTTGCCAATGGTCCCGATGCCCAAGCCGGCAACAGACGCAGTGATGATCACGCGGCTAGGCTCGTCCACGCTGGCATTCTTCTGCAAAAGGGGCGCAAACTCCCGGATGGTGTTAAACACTCCCCTGACGTTCAGGTCCATGACCTTGGCGAAAGCCGAATCCGGGTGCTCGTCAAAGGCGGCGCCCCATGTCGCTCCAGCGTTGGCGAGAAGAATGTCGATGTGGTCAGTGTGTTTGGCGACTTCAGCAACCAAATGTTGTACGCCCGCGATGGTGGCGGCGTCGGCGGGGATAGAGATGGCCTTGGCGCCGGGGGAGAGACCGGGGAGGGCGTTGAGGGTCTTGACGGCGGAGTCGCAGGCGGAAGCTTTGCGGGAGGATATGAAGACTTTGGAGGCGCCGGCTTGGAGGAGGCTGTGGGATATTTGTCAGTCAAGTTCAAAGTGAGACTTTGAAGGGTTGAGGAGGTGAGTGAGGGAGGGTGGGAAGCTGGATGAGCTATGTATGTATAACCACGTGTGAAGACCAATAAGAAGAATAAACATGGAATACAAAATAAATGGTGATCGTGACTATATCAAGTTAAACAGAAAACGACTTACGCAGAAGCAGCACTCAAACCCAATCCTCTCGATCCACCCGTCACGACAGCAACCTTGCCCTTGACGGAGAAGAGGGAAGGGAAATCGTTAAGCTGAGCGTCCGCCATTGTGTCTGTTTTTTCCTTCCTTTGACTGACTGGTATAAAGACCTGAGAACTTCAAGTAACAAAAAAATTAAGTCTAAATATCTAAAGCCTTTCAGAAAGAGTCGACGGGGTGATGTAACGTGTAAGTGAGAGTTGAAGATTCCCCGGATCGGGACGTGGGCCGCTTTTTGACGTTCGGGAGTTTGCCCCCTGCACTGCTTGGTCTGCGGGGGAGAGGGCCAGCTCGGTAGTGGGAGCCGAGGCTCTGGGGCCCCGCATCATGTTAGATCGCTTCGCTTGTTTTTTTTCGGTGACGAATACCTCGGGAATTGGCACCTTCTTTACCTCCGCCAGCTCCGCGTATTGGGTATGAAGAGGAATTCGTCTTCAAATCGACTATGAGAGCCTGGGTGAAGTACAGCGAGGTTTAGTGAAGGCTAATGACGGGAAGCGGGTTTGATACACTCGACAACAGACTACGTGGCTTGTCCTCGGTACGAAGATCGAGAATGAAGAGATTCCACAGAGCAACGTTGTACGTATCCATCTGTCTGCTCCGAAACAGTTCGGTTTTTGTCCGATAGCCATCGTCTACACTCGTATACTAGGTATAGGCTTCTTTGACCGTTGCAAAGATAGAGTTCACATATCGTAAGGCTATCAACGGCGCAATACTCAAGGTACATTGATTCTTTCCCAAAGAAGGACCCTAAATAATCATTAGGTCTAAAAGTCTGCTAGAGACATCACCATGTCTATTTAAGAATTTCATATCCGTACACCTCACCGTGAATTACAACCGCTGAACAATAGCAGTTGAAGCGATCTTAAGCGGCCTGGAGAGGAATTTCTCGCTCCGGCACATGTTCCGGGTTGTGGACAGGACTGTCACCATCATTGTTGGTGGTTTGTTCGGCCTGATCACCTTGCTGCTGGTTCTCTTGCTCGTTGGGGGCAGCAGCCGCGGCTGCTGCTTCTGCTGCCGCCGCAGCTTCTTCCCTTTCTCTCCGCTCACGCTCACGCTCAGCCGCCTCCAGCTGCGCAATATGCCTTTCAGCAACGCCAGGAGCGATACTCGCCAAGAACAAGAGGCCAGCTCTTTCAATGCGGCGGAAGAAGTTGACCAGGTGAACAGCCCCAGCATTGTCCATATCCCGGGGTTCGTGTAGACCGGCAAGGCCTACGTCAGGCGCACCGTTCGCGCCTGCGGGGTGCGCTGCTTGAGGTCGTGGAACATGCTGGCGTCGCTGCTGATTCGGGGCGGCCATATGAAGTAGTCCATCAAGATGTTGCCTGATTGGCCCAAGAGCTTGATTGCCAAATCGATTCAGGAAACCCGCGTTCATGGCGAGAACGCCAGCGGCCAAGGCCACCATGGTAAACACTCGAGTCCAAGAAGAATCGTTGGACGTGAACCACCATATGAAGAAGATCAACCTAATAATCAGCCATATATGAGGCCACGCTGCAGCGATCAATGCGGCGGCTCCGACGGGATTGTTCGGATGCCCTAGTCCATGTCCAATAGCACGATGGTCGATCCCGACCCTAATCCTCACCTGCACCGGTTGGCGTTGCCCTTGTGGTCTCTGCGGCTGGTTCCGGGCTTGCGGTGCCGTGTGTAATGGCCGATAGTTGAGCGCACCTGGATGACCAACTCCAGGGTATAATAAGGGTGGTTGCGGGAGGGGGAGGGTCTGATGTGTCTGAAACGTCCCTGGTGTGGCGTACAGCTCCGATCCGTTTTTGATTAAAGACCTCTTGGGCCGCTAGGAGAGGACAGAATATACACCTCCGCTTGTTGTCTCTGCGGTTGGGACTGTTCTTGGGGCTCTGTAGTTGTCCCGTTCGTCGGACCAGATGTTGATGTTCTGACTGCGGGACCGGTCAGGTATTCGTTGATATTTCGAATCTGTTCATCTGTAGCTGGTGGTACTCCGGAAGGAGCCGAATTTCGCAAAGCGTCAATCCGGGCTTGCATCCGTTGTACGTCAGCACGCCAGTCGTTCTGTGATGAGGCGTCCTGCTGCGTTGTTGTTTGCCCCGTTAGAGCAGTTTGGCCTGAAACCGGTGCTGGTTGAGAGAAGAAAGTAGCCGGGTGGTGGTTGGAGGTTCTGACTACAAGATGGAGAGGCTGTTGGCCACCTGTGCGAAGCTGTTGACAATTGACAAGTATATCAGCCCATGTTCCCCAACTCGTGTACCATTGACGAAGGTGTGCTCACCTTCTCCTCACCAAAGACGTCTAGTAAAGTAGCACTCTCGCTGGCGAGCAATCGGCCTTGGTGGATGATGCGTTGCTCGTCGTGAGCCGGGTGCATCGTAAGAACATCGCGGATCTTGTCCTTTAATTGCCCGACCGTCGTCGTAGCTGGGAGGCCTTGAAAGTCAAGGTCATCGGGGACGCCTTCGGATGGGGAGACAAAGTGAATATTGACGAGCAGAGGACCGTCCTCGCCGGCGGTTTCTAGAGCCGAAGGCGTAGACGTTGCCGACTCTCGGTCATTAGCGGCCATCCTGACTGTCAACGAGCTCCTGGTGGGTAGCGATTGGTTTGGACTGGTTGCCCAAGGCAGGCAGCGATCCGTAGGTATATGATTGCTTCTGCCTGTTCGGCTCAGCTAGGTCAACAGGAGGCTGGAACTAGACTTGGAGATTACAGCAAGCGGGTTCCGGGGACAAGGGGACAATCAAACAAACTACGGTAGTGTAGAGAGGTGGGAAGAGAAATATTGATTCGAAGCGTGAATGTAGATGCTAGATTTGTTCAAGATGGGATGGGCAGTGTAGAGGTGGGAGTTGTATGTAGCTTAGGTCGGGTTGTCTTCGTCGTGATGTTCTATCGCCAGCTCCTAAATTCCACGTTGTCATTCAGAAGCGGCCGACACGGCAGGCAGGGTCCGGGCAGCTGGTAGAATGGTACCTGGCCCCACGTTGGAAGAACGGGGTTGTACGTGAAATGGGCCGTTCTCCCAATAGGTCCCAGCGTTCCAAAGACATTTTCTTGTACACAGCTTACGAAGCCATGCACCTGGCAGGTACTCGCTATCCCAGGGGCAGCTTCTCCAAAAGCACGTACATCTTCCGTTGTCCTGACTGCGCAGTCGCTCTGCCACTGGCACCCACATGCAAGGAACGCGGGGTTCACTGCCGGTGAGCGACCTGGAGTTCGGGGTAAGAAGGTGCGATCAAGGGACACCGAGGTGAGGCCGTGAGGGGAGATCGGGGAAGCTACGAGGTGAGAAAGAGGGGATTTGAGATTGGAAAGGCGGCAAGTGCCATGCCCGCCCGGGCAGCCGCTGTGCGTCTGGCACACTTGCGTCATGACGGGAAAGAGCTTGGTGCGATAGAAAACCTGATGGGATGGAAGGAGGTCGTGTGCGCATCGCATCCCATTGCGCTTGTATTTATATCTTCCTGCCTTTCATCTCGGTCAGGTCTGGACTCATTTGTCTATCGCGACACTTTTTTGTCACCCACCAATCCGACGCAAACCGACAGCATATCTCGGTTCTCATCCTGCCACTTGCTGGGACTCCATCCTTATCCCGGCTAACATTGGGCTTTATCAAAAGTCGACAGACGGCAACCTGGAACGCAGATACGGAGACCCGGGGAAACGGGGGAGGAAGATACGGGGTAAACGCGACGTCGCCACCACTCGGACGGTTTCCTCATTGCCCAATTCGATATTTCGTTGAACCACCGCCGGGTCAGACGGGCACGACGGGGTCAGATTTACCCCAACAAATACCACAGACACCTAACTGTTCTGGCCTCTGCTACGACGCTGGCGCATAAACACGCAAGACACTCGCAGTAAGGCTAGTCTAGAGTGTCTCTGTAGCCGAATTGTTGCCGCGGACAGCGACGCTTGATACGTTTGCGGGCGTGGTGGTGTTCCACTCGACTCTTTCACAAGCCAGAAGGGAACATCGTTAGGATCGTCTGCGACCCCCCCCCCCGTCAGGCTCTAGCGGCGCCCATAGGCTGTAGGGGAACCCCTCGAAGGCTCGAACAGCCCCCTTCCTGCCCCTATTCGGTCAAGTGGCGGGAGCCCTGAAGGGCAGTTCAACTCACCCACGAACAGGGATTGCAACGCATTGCGGACCCGCTAATTAACGGAAGCGACTTTTTCACTCGTTTCCCACTTTGCCTGTGGCCCTCTAGCCCTGGCCTCTCCGTGTGGTCCTAGCCAACGCTGTCGGCCCTGTCGCTCGTGAAAGACCGTCTTCCTCCCCCAAGATGGCCTCTTTCCAGCTGGGCCCGGTCTCCGCTCGAGTCCGGGTTTCCACGCTTCCTTCGACAGCTTTCGGGCGGTGTCCGACTTCCACGCGCTTCACCAGACTCGAAACTCCGTTCCCTGCGTCGACACGGGCGCCCCAAGCCCACCAAATGTTTGGCCGTCGCTTCTTTTCCAACCACATGCCAAAGCGGCCCAGGATGCAGTGGCACCCCATACCCATTGGCCTGGGCATCGGCCTACTAGGCGTGATGCAGTTCTACAAAGTCTACACGAGAGACCGGGATGAGAAGCGCCAGGCCGCCGCCGAAGGCTCCGAGCCTGGTCAAGCCGGCAAGCCCAAGAAGCGGCGCCGCATCCGGCCGGACGGCCCTTGGTACGTTGACCACGCCGGCCAGCAAGGCCAAATTTTTGACGCCATGAGCTAACCACCCGGGTGTATAGGCAAGTCCAGGTCATGTCGACTCTCCCCCTCAAGGCCATGTCCCGTCTTTGGGGCAAGTTCAACGAATTGAACATCCCCTACTATCTCAGAGCTCCCGGTTTCCGTCTATACGCATACTTCTTTGGTGTCAAGTGAGTGAGACCCGGCCCCTTCCCTTTTCGTCTCGTCAGTCTTGTGCTGACACGTGCGCTCCAGTCTCGATGAAGTCGAAGAACAAGACCTCCACAAGTTCCCCAACCTCGCCGCTTTCTTCTACCGCACTCTCAAGCCTGGTGTCCGCCCCGTGGACCCCAACCACAATGCCATGGTTTCGCCGTCCGATGGTCGAATACTACAGTTTGGGCGAATAGAAGGAGGCGATATCGAACAGGTGAAGGGTATGACTTACACTATCGATGCGCTACTCGGTCAGAATTCTCCAACTCCCAGCATCTCCGGTACGACTTTGCTCGACGAAAGCACCAAGGCCAAATCGGTTAATGGAGACTTTGAAGGCGACGAGGAATTGGTTAAGAAGGATGAGGAATTCGCCCTCGTCAACGGTATCTCTTACACCCTCCCGGATCTTCTCTCCGGTTCCAAGAGGCACGACAAGCTGTTCAAGCCCAAGGATGAGTCCGTCACCCCGTCCAAGACTTCCGAGACTGAGGTGAGCGCCGAGCTTGCGCTTGGTGAGAAGCCCTGGTACGATGTTCTTTCGGGTGGCGAGCGCCACACTCTCTACTATGCTGTTATCTACCTGGCTCCTGGCGACTACCATAGGTTCCACTCCCCTACGGAATGGGTTGTCGAGCGCAGACGTCACTTTGCCGGCGAGCTCTTCAGCGTGTCCCCCTACCTGCAGCGCACCCTCCCTGGTCTTTTCACCTTGAACGAGCGTGTCGTACTTCTCGGCAGATGGCGTTGGGGCTTCTTCAGCTACGTCCCTGTCGGTGCGACCAATGTCGGCTCTATCAAGATCAACTTCGATCGCGAACTCCGGACCAATAGCTTGACGACCGATACCGCTGCTGATCGGGCTGCAGAGCTTGCAGCAGCCAAGGGTGAGCCTTACCTGGGATATGCTGAGGCCACCTACGAAGCCGCGAGCCCGGTCCTGAAGGGCCATGCTCTGCGCAGAGGTGAGGAGATGGGTGGTTTCCAGCTTGGTAGCACCATCGTCCTTGTCTTTGAGGCGCCCGTTGCCGAGCACGACGAGTCCGGTAAGGTCAGCAAGGGCTGGACCTGGAACGTCGAGAAGGGGCAGAAGATCAAGATGGGACAGACTCTGGGTCACGTTGAGCTCTAAATTGGGCATACAAAAGAAGCCTTGGTACGGTGGGAGGCGTTTGCAGGGATGGAATGGTTGTTGAAAACTAGACAAGATACAGGTGGTGTATTCGGGTCTCGGATCTCTTCAACATGTATCCTTTGACTTTATGCTCTTTATATGATACCCCTTCCCGGGTAGCTATATCTACATTGCACTCTGTTTTTTTTTTTTTCTTTTTCTTTTCATTAGGTTATATCTTTCGAGATTGGAAGCATCAAAAAGTTTGCATGGCATGTGGTTGGGATCTGAGAAGGGCAGATAGATAGACAGGCGGCATGTACATAGCTGAGAAATCAAAAATATCTGTACCACACGACTTTCGCAAGTCTTCTCAACGCGGTCAGTGGATGCTTCGCACTATCTATCACATGGATGAGAAGTCATCACAAAAAAAGTAAATAAACATGGGCCACAACTTAAAATGAGATCAATCCACATCCCCCAGCCCCTATCTCGGGAGGCAAATCTAGCGTTAAGTATTTTTAGGCCTGTCTCCCCATGTTCTCCCTTCGCTTTTAGAAATTGGCTTTTTCATCGGAAGACCCAGAACCTTTCATCTCATGCGTCCACCTCCAGAAGTCTAGATGAAAGGCCAGGGTCAGGATACCGGCTGTGCGGCTGTGCGGCTCACAAAAGTGGCACGTGCTCATGTATCACAAGCTCAACTCTGCCATCCAATCTTCTCCAGACGAACTGATCTCCAAGTCCCAACTGATGAATGAATGATGTTAATACAAAGGGGGGTATTCATCATCTACTCTACTCTATATTCTAGCGCAGTAAGTAGCAGTATACAAATCGACCAAAAATTCGCTTCGCTTGCTTTCTTTTTTTTTTCCAAAAAAAAAAGAAAAAAAAACAAAAAAAAAAAAAACACAACACAACCAAACACGGGCATGGGATTCCTTCCTTTCTCCTCCTTTTAGGCGGAGCCGAAAGTCTTGAACTTCTCCTCCACGGCGCCAAAGGCCTTCTCACCCGCATCACCCGTCTTGCCACCGAAAACGAGCTGGGCGTTGAGCTTCCAGTTCTCGGGGACGGACCAGGTCTCGGCAACCTTGGCGTCGATCAAGGGGTTGTAGTGCTGCAGGTTGGCTCCGAGACCCTCAGCCTCGAGAGCGACCCAGAGGGTGTGCTGCAGCATGGCGTCCGACTGCGTGGCCCAGACGGGGAAGCGGTCGGCGTAGAGAGCGAACTTTTCTTGCATGCCCTTGACGACGGTCTCGTCTTCGAAGAAGAGGATCTGTTTGTTTGATAAGTTTGTTAGCATGGTGTGTTTTTCGGCAGGGGAGATGATGTTATGGATGACGGGAAGATAGGGCGCGCGGCCAAGACGGCGCAAAATGAAGGCCCAAGGGAGTATTGTAGAAAAAGAGGGATAGAAGATCGTGATGACGTACAGTACCAGCAGCACCCTTGAACATGGCCATCCTGCCCGCCGTGCTAGCCCAGTTGTCCTCGGGCACGATGGCCTTGAGGGTCTCGGTGGTGATGTCCCAGAGCTTCTCGTGCTCGGCGCCGAACAGGACAACGACGCGGTTGCTCTGCGAGTTGAACGACGAAGGGACGTGCTGCAGAGCCTCCTTGACGATCTCGTTGATGCGCTCGACAGTCAAGGAACCGAGGTCCTTGGAGAGAGGGTAGTAGGTGCGGCGCTGCTTGATGAGGTCGAGGACCGCGTTGGCGGAGATCTGAGTGGATGACATCTTGGATGACGTTTGGAAGTTCTTTTGGAGAGAAGGCTTGATGGATAATGAACGGTGCGTTTGTTGTCTGAAGGTCGCGGTGAAGGTGGAAGAAAACTCGGGAGTCGACGTGCTTCTTATGAGACCAGCAAAGTTGGTGGTAGCTCGAAGTCTACTGGGGGCTAGGACGTGTCGCATACGGGCAGATTGCGATAGTATCAATGACACACTTGCGATCGCAGTTGGGGTGTGGAACTCTTTTCGGGGAGTTGTTGGAAGGCCGGCGGCTGTTCCGTAGTCTAGACGTGGATGGTAACGGAGGGAAAAGGGCGGGGCTGGCCGTGGCAGGATTCTTTGATGTTCCGGGTCCCGGTGGGGTGAGTAGTATGGAGAACGGAGCACTAGACAGGAAGGTGAAGATGTTGAGAAAGATGTCACTGAAGATATTCACACGGGGTGTTGAGGAAGGTTTATATCTGTGTCTCTTGAGCTGTCTGGTTTCTAGGAATGGGAGGGAAGGAAGCCTCCATTACCATCGTGTCCCACCCGCTTCCACCATCGTGAATTGACTTACTACCTAAGAGCATTCATGTCCGTTTACATTGCGGATGCCTTCATCTCTCGAGACTCTTCCGCAGAGAAGAGATAGTCAGAGACGAAACAAGCATCGCGATCGGTACCTCTCTCCCGACCCCCACACGGCGACGACCGTGAAGGGGGAGCCGTCCAGCCGACCAGGGTTGTAGCGTGTGGTTTGTTGGATTTACAAAAGCTCTGTCAGCCATTAACAATACAATTAGACTCCAATTCTTGACCACCACACCCAATGAGACGACGAGAAGGTTCCATATTGGGGAAATTTTGCTCTATCCAGTTAGTTTGTAAGCTTCAAGAGGCTCTGCGGTTATGCGCTTTTATCGCCAACTCGCACAGATAATTGCTGCAGTCCCTGCTGTCAAACAACCCCTCGGCTGATGACGAAAGCTGACAAAGTCGACCTTGGCATTTATTAAAGGCTTAAACAAGACAAGTACCGGTGGTAGAACAGGCACATGGGCCTCTTCCATTTCCACACCACCAACGAAAGATTGGAAAGATTGGTGAGCCTTTGAAATTCTTACAAAACAACAGACGCGGCCTGACAGTCAGTCCATGACCTTCAGGGTCCGAGACTTTTACTAGTGTACCGCTGAGTGAGCACGTCTTGGACTCAATGAGGAGCAACAACAACATCCCATCCATCCTTAGCCGACTGGCTGGGTTCCTTCGCCCGGGTTGTTGTCTCGGATCGTTCATGCATTCTTCAACTCTGCCATGCATGTTCCATGTTCCGCGCGGTTGGGTCTTCGGTTTTTGTTATCGGCCCTGGGCTATGCGGGCTGCTGATAACGTTCTATGGTATGGGATGCGGATGAACAGTTATGCTCGCCGGTCGGCAATTTGTCAAAATCAAAAGCCTCCTCCCCAACCTAGCTACAAAGATTGGTCGTCAAGTATTGGGAAAATAGAGGGATGAAAGTCCGAACCCTCTCACTCAACGCCCGTCACTTTGGTGAAGGGTGACATCCCAGGACGGAAATCCTACCTAGTGAGAATTGACGGCTAGTCTAGCACGCGAACATCATACACTGAACAGCTTATTTAGAAGGAATTATCTATGACCATATATACTTCCTGCACTACTAAAACCGCAAATCCAATGCAGCCGGGTGGTAACATTCAAAACGTGATATGGCGGGATCACCATCGGCTATTGCGTCACGGACATTGCCTTCCACATCATCAATGTCTCTCAGGTATGTCTCCTAACGGCGAGGTGACTGGGTGAAAAAAGTTGTGGCCAGAAGAGAGATCTGATTGGTCAATTCGTCTCTTTGAGATTCATGATTTCTGTATGGCACTGCGTAGTGGTGCTTGGTATCCCCGATTTGGCGCTGAAGTTCTACTCCCAAGTGCTGTTGGTAGTTTCTACTGGCAGTGCTTGGCGAACGCTCTAGATACCTAGAACAAGAGGAATGAACTTCATATATCTTAAGCCGGTGATGAACAAATGTGTCGCGGTCCTCAGCGTGAGTGATTATTGCCGGCAGTAGATATTTTCTTGACAGAGTATAGCTACAAGTCAACGTACATCATCGAACCAAACCCACGAAACTATGCGTATTACATAAACAGATGGCTTCTAGGAAATCTAACCAACGCTCAACAAAAAGTTTTTGTGGATGATAATGATATGCATAGAAATAGCTCAATGCGTATGTGCAGGGCAAAAAAAGAAGGAAGAAACCCAGAAACAGAAAAACTCTTTGACAGAAACCCGCCCATGCACGCCGGAAAATGCTGGTGTTGTTGTTTGTCTTCGCCCTTGAACGCCGTTTCTACTCTGCCCCGCGTGCCCTTGATATGTATGTTTTTTCGTTTGGCCTATGCGGCCCCTGCCCATGTATATTTTCCCCCTTTCCCAATGTGACCGGTTGTCACAATCCTAGAGAACCCCAAGAAGGTTGAAATCAATCACCACGTCTCGGCGATGTATTGGCCAACCTCCCTCTTCAGTTCCCAGAATTGCTTGGCCTCGTCGTGCTCAAGGTTACCCTTCTCCATCGCGACCTCGATCAACGCCTGCTCGACACCTTCGCCCATGCCCTTGGAGCTTCCGCAGACGAACACCCTACCGTCGACTGAGTTGATGATATACCAGACGAGGTCAGCCTGAGCTTTGACTTCTTCCTGGACATATCGCCCCTGGCCGCGACGGCTCTCCACTACGCGCTTGACCTCGTCCTCATGGACACCCCACTCACCGCTGTAGAGCTCATCAACTAGCGAGTCACGGCAGCCCTGGAGGACCCAGACCTTGTTGGCGCAGTTGGCAGTCTTGAGGCGGCGCTGGACGAAGCCTCTGAACGGGGCGATACCGACACCGGCACCGATAAGCAGCATGGGGCCATCCGAGACGAACTGCTTGGCAAGGGGATTGGCCATAAGACCCTTGAACATAGGGATGTAGACCTCAATATCCTTTTCGCCTCTTTCTTGTGCTTCGATGTACTTGAGGGCTTGGCGCTGGAAGAAACCGGAACCGACTCCGTTGCGCTCGCCTGTCCTCCAGTCGTTTGCGGTGTGGACGGTGACGGCGATCTCGATCAGGCGGTGCTGCTTGCCGTCGCGTCTCAAGAAGGACTCGTGCGGGTCGTTGGACAAGGAGTAGAAGCGGGGCATAAGAGGTTGTAGGACCGAGAGGAGCAAATCGAGAGGTGGCCTAGCGCTGGGGAAGGCATGGAGCAACTGGGCGACGGTGATGTGCGGGCCGGTGCGGAAGTCGCAGAAGACTCCTTGGCCTTCAGCCGAGCAGAGGAAGAAGAGAATCTTGCGCTCATCCTCGTTGGTCGCATGCTCGGCTAGAATACGGAGAAGTGGCTTTGTGGGCGGGTAGGATTGGATGTCAGAGCACCATGTCAGGAGGTCTCTCCGCGTTGTGACAAGCTTACGAGCTTGGTCTTCGCCCCATACGGTGGGCCATCTGCCCTTGGTTGTCCGCAGGAGGACAGGCTTGTCACGGAGGAAACGAGGAATGAGGAGAAGGTCGAAAAGCTCCTCTACCATGGACTCCTCGTTGGGAGCCGAGACGCCGATGGCTCCACCGACCTTGAAATCGACACCCTCATCCTCGGGGTAGTTTGTGACGTCAATGTCGAAATGGAAGGTACGCTTCTCGGCGCCTTGGCCTGTCAACTCACGGGCGGTGTGAATGCGGGCGGGGAAGACATGGAAAGGCGGGTGAGGTTGGACAAAGGAGGGTGGCTGAATTTTGGTGTCGAGGTCCTCCAGAGACAGCTTCTGTATAGACTTTTCGATATCGGTTGTGGCGGATGTCGTGTTACCATCGATGTTAAGAGCCGCAGTGGACTCTGTAGGAGACGGAACATTGGATGGACGGCGAAGGGGCTGCAGGAAGACAGTCTGTTCGGGCAGGTCGAGGATGTTGTTTAGGATGGTCGGAACTTCTTCGATCTTGAGGTTGAGAGCGCGGTATGCGTCGTTGTCCGGGAGGTTGACCCGCTCATACTCGATACCCTGCTTCTTGACCCTCTTGCCGTCGGAAGTGAGGCAGCAACCACCACCACAACACCTCTGGACCAATTGGGTTGTTGTCTCGCCCGTGATACGTTGGATGTCAGCGGGAGACTTGACGATAAGGACAGTGGATGCGCGGCGGCGGCGCGGCTGCTCGTCAGATTGGCGGGGTTCCTCGTTTTCAGAGGGTTCGGAGGACTCCGAATATGTGAGTGACGGGGCGATGGAGGGCACTTGAGGCTCTTCGGGTATGCTGTTTGCCGAGTGTTGGGCCATTATACGATCAACTTGTGCCGCCATTGTTGCGTGGTTGGCTTTGAATACTAGGGTTTGCTAGGCTTTTTCTTTTCTATTCGGAATTCGCTGTGGCGAGTAGCGAGTAGACAAGACCCAGCGGTTTTGGTGGCAGAGGCTAGTAATAAATAGGGAGTTGGAAGTGGTGACGATGGAGGTTGCAACGGCCGGGCCGAACGGTGAATGGTGAAATTCCAAGATTCCGGATCTGATTAGATCACTGTGGGCGAATCACTGTGTGAGATCCCGAGATAAAAAATGCTCGTGCGCTGGCTGACAAAAAGTCCTGGGGCAAGTCTGTGAATGGAAAGCAAAGAGGTCAAAACTCAAAGACTCGGGATGGCAAGTAGAGATAGAAGCGGGGATTGGAAGATGCGAATTACCAGGACATATAAAAGAAACCAGGAACAACCGGCAACTGAACGCAGTGGAAATGGCGAACCCGGTCTGAAGGAAGAGGCAGGAGCTGAGGGAGATTCTGGGGTGCAGTGGCCACAAGCTCAACGAAAAAGGACGGGAAATCACGATCTTTAATTATTTGCATGTCATAATGCAGGGCTGCTGGAGCACCGGCTGGAGTCACTGCACCCGCTGGAGCATGCCGTTCGCAAAGCCCATTTTCTAGCCCAGTACGCACGGGGAAAGCGTTAACGGTTTTGGCAGGTTGGCCCACCAAATCCCCGATATGGCGACATGAGGGTCCCCGCACATGCTGGTGGTTGATGGCAAACGAGCGCCCTCCCGCCGTTCTCCGTGTCTGCCCGACTTCAACAAAGAACATGTTCCCCCAAAACGTTACAGTTTCCCGGAGATATATGTCTTGAACAAAATACCGCAAGCCCAGGTTCCTCCCGCGACATGCCACGGATTAGGCAATTCCCCACGAACCTTAATGTATTAGGGCGGCACCAGCGCCTCGGGCGGTCGAATCTCAGGCACGGGGTTGTACAAACCGAGCAGCCGGGCAAGACGCCTTGCACTCAGCTTGTTGAGGCTATGTACATATATGCGCTGACACCCCATGGAAAGGTTCTCGATTTTCCCCTCCGAGCAGGATTGGCATTGAGCCTGGCCAGCCTGGAAAGGTTAATCCGGGAGAAGCTGTCAGAGTGTCAGGTGATTCTGACCGCTCCTCATCCCGTTTACTCGTCGTTTTACTAAGACGTCCATTCCCCCTTTTATAAATCAATCTTGGGACCGGTCCATGACTGATGACTCCATGGACCTGCCGTCTTTCCGAAGGAAGACCTCAGGCGACTGTAATCTCGTATGGTATCATACCTCCCTCGACCGAGTACAAGGCCTTGCTTGCAAGACGATTGCTCACAAGACCGGTTTCCCACCGATTTCCCCAGATGGTGCAACGCTTTCCTTTTCAGAGTTACCAGAGAAAAGCAAGAACCGGTAGATCTTCCGGCCTTCACAAAAGCCAGCCGATCCGGGGCCGTGAATGACAAGAGGTAATGTCGCCACTTTTTTCCACGATCATGCCAAACAAGCCAAGACAAGCGTCGGCAATCTTGATACGTCCAGACAGGGCTCGACCTGGATAACACCAACTCTCCCCAGAGTCGCCAAGGACACCGGGCAACCAACACCCTAGCTTTGGTCCAGACACTTGCACATGCTCTTCTTCATTTCTGGATAGGGAAATGCGATCTTCATTTTTATAGTCGGCACGTTGATGGCCTCTTCTGCTTATGAAGGTGGTGAGCATATGAAGCCCTCCTCAAACAGCTCCCTAGTGTATAGCCAGCCTGGAGAGAAAGAGCTGCTTAAAAACATCATCTTCTAGGTACATCTCTCCCCTCAATTCTAGTTCGGTTGGAAGTTTCCTCGTGCAGAATTACCGATTGCCGACTCAGCGCCATGCTTATATGCATACGATAGCTTACACCACCTGAGAAGGCACCAGATAAGTCCAATCACGCCAACGAGCTCTCTTCTTGTATCACGCATCAAGAGTTCTCGACTTTACCCTATTCCTCCTTGCTCGGATTCTTATTCCCTCGTAATCCTGATAGGCAGGTCTAGCAGGACAACAGAAACCGAGCCCCTCCCCTTTCGATCCTAGAGCCGTCACTCAAAAGAAACGGCGCTAGAGCGCAACATCGGAACCTCCGAGTTCGGCGTTTCTTAACAGCTCTCTGCAGTTCTGCACTTCAGTGCACCGCAGCGCACCGACTTGCCCACAAAGTACAAACAAGAGCTCGCACTGTACGATCCCCGAGCGGGCTCGGCGGCGGGTGGCCCGGGATCAACCTAATCTAATCAATCAGCAAAATTTATCAATCAGCCCCACTGCGGGTGGATCTTGGGCATCCGCCGGCGCCGCCTAAAGGGGCTGGCCTGTTGAGATTAGATGATCAGATAATTCGAGATCACGAGACGGTAGCCGAGGTTCGGTCTCTGGGAGCATCAAGATCTCAACAGTTCCAAGTTGTGATCAGAAAAAGGGGAACGAGGGCAGGACAAAAAAGCAGATGCAGCATAATAACGGAATACAGAAACCAGTGTAAAGGGTTTGGGCTTGGCTTGTCTGGAGGAAACTGACAGACAAGCAACAAGAGATAGATGATCGCATATCCCCCCCGGTTCCGCACATCACTCACTCTGCAAGAAGAAGAAGAAGATGGGCAGTCCTCGTCAACCACAAAAGCTTACTTCCAAAATTCAAAGGTAAACCCCAGAAAGGTAGGTAGGTAAATATTCATTTGACTAGGAAGTCAAGTAAAAGTGTCAGTGTCAGTGTCACCTTCACACAGGAATACAGAATACGCCTGGGGCGGGAGTTTCCAGAATCTGGAAACAGCACGAGGATTACTCCGATCGTAAGGACCAGAAAGACCACGACATCGTGGTAGGACCGCCCCTTTCTTGTCAAGTCGTACATACTATTATCCACAGCAAGAAATATAAAACCAGACCATCACCGTCGACCCAAGACCTATAGTACGCGATTGTTTCGTACGAGCCTCCCACTCCCAGTGGAAACATAGCGCCAGGCATGTAATGTGAGTAGTGGAAGGGATGATGGGGAAACGGAACTACCGATTTACGAACGATCTTCCTCAGTCACTACTGCACCCCGGAAAATCAAGCATGGTGTGATCAACAACCCGCTTGTACACCAAGTAGATCCAGAAGGACAGGAGTTCCATGTCTCATGTCCATCTCCAAGTGCCCTGGAAGTGGGACGGGATCATCGATCGTCGTCGTACTTTCCTTCCGCCCACTCCCCAATCTTGGCTGCGGCTGGATACCTCTACGGTACATGCAGTACCAGTTCCTGTGCCGGTATATAACTCGTTCGTTTCATGTTATTTACACTACAAGCACTACACCTGTACTCACTCCATTGCTTGGCTGGTGCGAAACGAAGGGGCCGGGCAACTCGAGCGGGTTTCGCTCCACCGTTTCTTTCCTTTCACCACTGTTAGACTATGCCCGATACGTAAGGTACCGTGGATCATGTTTGATAGCAGACTTAGTGTAGTGCTCGTTTCTGGATCCGACAAGGGACTGCTCGGTTGACTGGTAGTGGTATGATTGTTGTCTGCGAAACACATTACCTGCTCGAGTCTAAATCTCCTGTTACCTACCGTATTTACTTTGCGTGTTGAGGTATTGATTGCTCCGGCCCAGCGAACTATAGTACCGCTAGAGGTAAATACAGCCCACAAAGTAGACCCTTGTTCCAATCTTGTATCTTGTAGATCCATTACCGAACGAACCCACTCCATACCTTGCTGACTGAGTGTTAACTGTACTTGGGGGCTGCGGTGTGGTGGGATTTTTTCTCAACCCCCTACTCATAAAGCTGGGAAGGAAATTCAAGTACCAATGGAAAAGGAGAGATAACGTATCATGAGTTATATTTGGCTGCAAACTTCAAAGAAACAAAACATACTTCCCTTCACATGAAACGGGTAACCATGGAAAGGTTAGCACAGCATCCCATCCGCTGCGTGTTGCCTCTTAACGTGCCCTTCACAAGAAGTACCAGATGGAAAGAAAAAGAAAAAAGAAAAAGAAAAAGCGGGAAAACGAACGCAGAACGCAACGTATCCAAAACATGAACAAATAAAATGGACAGAATATCAGCAGAGGTAGCTTAATAGTAGGACACCGCCCTGCTGGTCTTCAGCCAGGTAAAAGGGTATCCAATGGGAGCTCTCCTCCGGTTCTCCTTATTCCAAAAGGTGCGTTTCGCACTACGCACCCGCACCAAAATACCCGACATTCCCCAACAGTCCAACCTGTCACCGAGAGCCTCAAAAAGCACTCTATCTTTCAATCGAACCTCTCGATATATGTCTTTGGTGATCGCTAGTCGTGCCTCGGTTCTTTGCGTTCCAACAAGCGTCGACCGCCGGTATGACTATCTCCCGGAAGTCCTCGGGGGTGACTCGGCCGATAAAGAAGACCTTGTAGTTGTGCTCGATCGTCATAAGCTTTGAGTAGTTTACTCGGGACTCAATCGTCAAAGTCTCGGAGGGAGAGTCCGCCATTTCGATCTGTATCGGGTTGAAACCCAGCTGGGGTTCTCCTTCCAGAAGCTGGGGCTGGCTTCCAGCATTATAAACGATGCCGTGTTGCCTTGGCTTCACGCCAGCTTTGCTGCATCCTCTTTTGAGGTATGTCAAGATAGGTCTGGGCTGTGTTAGCATGCCATAACACGGAGGCTGTGATAAGAACTTGCTGACTTACACACAGGTACAGTTGCCTTCGTCATTACCGACTACAATGTAACGCCGGATGGACGAGTAGAAAATCTGACTGGGGTCCTGTACACTATCCCTCTCTATCTCGCCTGAAAGCTCATTGAGATTGACACCAGCGGGCTCTGACCACAGGACCTTGAATACCTGAAATACATGATGAGATGATGTCCATCAATCGGGAAATAACAACTTATGTACTCACTGATCCAGGGCTAAATTTTGAAGAAGGGTGGACCTTGTAGCCTGCCAGAGAGTGTCAGCAAAGAGTTGGTGGCTACCTATGGCACGTTTTTCAGATAACTCACGGGGGTCAAGCTGTCCAGATATCGACCTATTCGTCAACAGACTGTAATCAATTCCGCCGGAAGGGAGGCTCGGAACAGTCGTAGACGAGAGGTTCATTTGTGGCCAAGACTGCTGGCTGTTCGCATACCCGTAAGCCGTAGCTGATGAATAATTCGGAGATAAGGCGTCGGCACTGAAACCATTGCCAACGCCGCGGCCATTGCTGTTTAAAGCAGTTCTTGATGGAGGCGACGTAACATAATCCGCTGCTGTGTCTCAGTGTCAGTGTGGGCTTTGAGGCATTCGTGCGTCACGTACCTTCAGGGTTCTTGCCGTTGTCTTCATTCGAATGGCTTCTGGTTTCAGTACTTCCATCGATGGTAGTTTGTGGCTCCGTTTCCAGTAAGTAAAATGGATCGTCCCTTTCGACATCGCCTTGGGTGTTTTCGGACCTCGATGAGTTAGTCCTACCGTGCGCTTTGATTCTCCCGTTACCTTTGTCTCTGCCTCCATCACTAGTACTCCTGTTCTTGGATCTTATTCCTAAATATACAGGCTTTCCCTTGTCGATGAAAGTTGATGCGCGATTCTGATAAACTGGCCCTGCATGCTGCTGGGTTTGATCTACAGAGAGATTAGGAACAGGATCAAACGTGCGTAGACCTGGTTTGGCCTCACCTCCACTGTAACTCCCTTGAGCTCTATGAGTGTAGTGCCCTGTGGCGTGAGTCTGGGCTAAAGCTCCATGACTAGTATGTTGCTCGTGCAATGCCGTGTTTGAGTATCCGGGTGTCAGGTGGGCTGGGTTTGAAAATGGTGAGACTAGGTATTGTTGGTTGGGAAAGGATTGGGGATTATAAACCATGTGTGGGTATGGATGTTGCTGAAGACTTTGACATGCCGGAAGTTGGTAAGTATGGGTGTGATATGCTGAATTCTGGTCATAGACTTGTTGGTGTCCGATGCTTGTTGCGCCAAGCTCATCTATAAGATCTTCCACCTCGTCGACCTGTTGGCCAGTGTGACGTTGATTTGGGGTGTCGGACCAGCCTGACAATGTGTGCGCCCGTCCGGGGGACCACTGGTCCTGACCATTATAGTTCATGGTTGACGCCCTTTATTCCAGGCACCCGGCCAAATGAGCGCTCGAGGTTCAGCAGGGCTGACCGGATACGAGCAGCACCACAGCGTAACTGGCAATTGATTTGATTCCGGTATTAAAATTTGATAAGAACGATGAGGCGCCAACAGAAGAGCACAAGTGAGCTAGTTGCCCACCGCACTTGAGACTGTTAAGTCTCCCGTGTTGGTCACACACAGAGCCTCACTGCGAGTCGGTGTTGTAGGTGATGGCTGACGGATGATTGATGGAGTTATTTCGTGGTGTCGGCGCCCTTGGTAGGTTTCCAAATGCAAACACGATTGGATGAATAAAGGGTGTGACACTCGCGGTCTTCCGAAGCTGGTTGCGAACTACCAAGCTGATCGGATGTTTCGAAGCTGTTGATGCAAGCGGGATGTACTGTCCTGCCTACTCGCCCGCGAAAATACACCTCGGAGACCAAAAGGCAAAGACGTAAATGAGAAGATATTGTGAATATCGACGTACAGGTTCAGAGAAAGAAAAAAGGTAGAAGTTGGGCTCAACCGCGGGCGGTCTGGCAGCAGGGCAGCGCAGTGGCTGTGTGGCTCCTCACACTGCCCCCGGTTACCTGTCATTCAACCTAAACAAAAAGATTCAGATGCGCTTTTGACGGTTCCCGTTGGCTGGATCCCATTATTTGATGTGTCGCCGGTATGTCTTGCAATTTCTGACCAATATTCGACAACAGTTGGAGAGCCTTGTGGAAAGTGTAACGTCCGCGGAACTGCGGGTTATCCGGGAGGAAGCCAAGGCAACCACATGGATATGCAGGATGACCACGCAGCCTTGCCAGCCACCCAAAGTGGTAAAGAGTGATAAAAACCCAAAGAAGAAAGAAAGACCTATGATTATCGATTGGGACAACTGTACACGTTTATGGATTTGTAGGATCCTATATGCCGCCATTTGGCAGCTTGACTCCTTGAGCGACAACTGAGACAATGTACGAGGCGAATGCAAAGACTGCGGGGAAGACAGACATCATGTGATATGTCTGGGGTCAGCTTCAACCTCAAAAAGATGATGTCTGTGGATGGAATTGGGATAAGAGAGCCATGGGAACTTATACATGTGGATGATGACTTTTCCGCTGGTGTTGTCTGGAAGATGATTGGGGTGGTGATGGATAGTTTGGCAGGTCGCGGATCAAGTGTCTGCCAAAGCCACTTGCTGAGATGCCTCGAGTTCTGCCCAATTCAAACGGAACCCATCAAATTTGCCCCGCTGTGATCATCAATGTCGAGTAACACGATTTTCTCTCTCGTTCTTTCTATGGGAATGGTTACTTCGCCCAATCTCTCAATCGCATCTTCTATCTCCCTACGAGTTTACTACTACTACTACTACTACTACTACTACTACTACTACTACTACTACTCTCCGCGACAAAAATGGCAGCAACGAGTCGATCATGGAAGCCGCTCGACCAACAAAAAGCGACGATCTTAACAATCTCAAATCTGGTGAGTACCTGCTTTGACTATGGATGACTGATGAAACATGACCGATGCAGCGACAACAAGCCCTTTGCAGCGGCGAGTGTCCTCGGCCTGGATTACCTTCTTGGAGAACTTAAAGCTAGCATTGCGCCTTCCTAGATCAAGTACTTTCCACATGTAGGGGTGTCATTTCCCCCCCCCCCCCCCCCCCCCCCCCACTCAAAACGCAGCTCATGTTCGCCGTCTTGTGCAGGTGTATGGCCTTCGGAAAACTCATCCTGCCACATACGTTTGGTCAGATTCTACTAGTATGGTCGTAGTTGAAGGTCATCCTTTGGAAAATGAGGAAGAACCCTCGACGATGCATTCATGCTGACCCTACGATATGCTCAGAAGGAAAGAATCAGGCAAATGTCCGATTCGTGGGGTACATCCTCTCGACTCTATCTGGCCAGCACTCCTTGAATTTGTTGCTGAAAATTGAAGCCAACAGCCTCTTCACAAGGTATATCAGGCACAAAATCTCCAGAAAGAACACCCTTCCTGTACATACTACCACTCTCGATCAGCGTATTGTCTCCACGCAGCTTCTCGTGTATGTGAAGTAGGAGGGCGCCCACTTCTTTGCGCAATTTCTCTGTTTATGCCTGGGAGAAATCTGAGGATCAGTTTGGAAACATGAGCTTTGGGGCTACCGGTTGGTTCAGCCGAGGTTTCTTCTCTTGCTCTCCAACTCAAGACGTTTCGAACCTGTTTATAATTTGGTATTCCGTGTAAACCCTACAGATATTCAAACTTGTCCCCGTCCTGGATGACGTGAGAACGCCTTTGATGCCGAAATGCTCAGGAATATTGACCACAGGTCTCGAACATACAGCTTTGCAGAAATACGTTTTATTTGTTATCTTACACTTGTGGTAATCTTATCCATAGCTTTGGTCGATGACTGAGCAGTCAAAGGCCTACCTGAACTTCTGCATCCTGAGTGTCCTTGTCGTGGCTCCTATCTTGTCGGAAGTTTAGATCAACGCAGCTACCGTGACCTGAGTTCAACATCATGTAAGAGATGGAAGGAGTATCATCTGGTCTCTCAGCAACTTGCACTTGCCCCAAAGTAAGAGCGCGCAAGTACCACTCGACCATTGCGGTAACCTACTCTTTCGAAAGACCGATTATAAGCACTATCGCTGCACTAAATCTGATATCCACAACGGCAAGATGGCCGAGCGGTCTAAGGCGCCAGGTTCAGGTCTACTTGAACTCGCTCTTCTGAGCTTCCTGGTCTAGAAATAGGCGTGGGTTCGAATCCCACTCTTGTCATTATTTTTTTCTTTTTTTTTTCTAAAAAGCCATCTTTGATGTTGCTTTCGGCCTGACCATGGCTGCTGTGTTGTGGATCATGTTCCCGTTGTGAGTGTCTATTGGCGTCCGACTCCATGCACCGTCCGTGGTTGCACGAACGCTTGGAAACATCGGACGATATCTCACAGCCAGACGCTCCGGTGGATGAAGTGGTCTCTTCAGCCTTCAGCGACTTTTGAGTTGTGATGATAGCGACTGGAAAAAAGAGTCTTTGTCTTGATATGCGTCGTCGTTCCCAAGAAGTGCAGATCCCGAGCATTTAGTTCCTGAGCTTCGGGTTGAGAGTTGTGAAGACTGAAGGATGCATGAGGAGCGATGCCCTCACAACTGACAGGCGGCTGGTTGGGGACCATTGACAGCTGTCGGAAGCCAGGGGTAAGCTCCACCAAATAACCAACAGTGACGAAGTCGATGGAGGGCCTGCTTTATCTTATCGCTCTTGGTGCATGTTCACGAGCTGCATCATCGCATTGAACCTTCGCCGCGACTTTTTGCAATTCCCAGGTTGTTGGCGTACGGAGTTAGAACACTTGATCTTTTGTATAACGAAGCTGGCCCTGTAACCGAAGCGTCAGTTGAGACATCTTCGAGCGATATACAACTTACTTTCGTCCTGCGCTTCTGATTCACCCTCGATTCTGGGACAGCTCCAAGCCCCGCCATAACCTAGCAACCTCTCCCTAATACATCATCTTCTGCCAACACATACGGCTTCGGACCACCTCTTGACATCTGCAAAACTTCTTGCCAAAATGAGTGGTGGTTGGAACACTAGTAAGTTAGGCATTAACACGCCAGCTATAGTACTTTCAAAGCTAACAACTTGTCCACAGTCGAGTCCGATGCGGTATGTTGACCATCTGCCCACCTACCTCACTTTGCCCGCCGATGCACATCCGCAAGCACCAGAAGAACGATGGATAATTAACGGCTCACTTTCAGGGCGTCTTCACCGACCTCCTCACGAACCTCGGCGTAAAAGGGGTCCAATTCGAGGAACTCCTCTCCCTAGAACCCGACGCTCTCGCGCAGCTTCATCCCGTCTACGGTGTCATCTTTCTCTTCAAGTACCCGACGAACGAGCCATACCGAGGCACCGACAAGCCCCTCGACGGCACCTTCGACTACGACGCCAGCGAGCGCCTCTTCTTTGCCCACCAGACCATCCAAAATGCGTGCGGCACGCAAGCGCTCCTGAGCGTGCTCCTCAACAAGGCGGACCCGTCCGTCTCGCAGGAGGGCGACGCGGGGTACATCGACATCGGCGACAAGCTTCGCGACTTCCGCGAGTTCACCATCGCCCTGCCGGCCGAGATCCGCGGCGAGGCGCTCTCCAACTCGGAGCTGATCCGCGACACACACAACTCGTTTGCGCGCAGCAGTCCCTTCATCGACGAGACGCAGCGCCGGCCCGACGAGGAGGACGGGGACGCCTTTCACTTTATTGCCTACTCGCCCATCGGCGGTACCCTTTACGAGCTCGACGGTCTGCAGCCGGCGCCTATCAGCCACGGCGCGTGTAACCCGGAGGACTTCCCGCAGAAGGTTATGGACGTTCTGCAGCGGCGCATTGCCAGGTACGACGCTAGCGAGATCCGCTTCAATCTGCTGGCTATGATTCGCGACCTGCGGATCAGGGCGCGCGAGTTTGCTGATGAGGATTTGCTGGCGAGCGAGGAGCGCAAGCGGGAGGCCTGGCGGTTTGAGAATGCCCTGAGGAGACACAACTTTGTTGGGTTTGCGGGAGAGATCCTCAAGGGTGTGGTGTCGGCGAAGCTGGCTGCGGGAGGAAGTGCGTATGACGACTGGGTCAGTCAGGGTAAGAAGAAGATGGAGAAGAGGGCAGCGGAGCAAAGGGCAAGGAAAGGTGGGGAGACAGAAAACGTTGAGATGCAGGGCTGAAGAGTCCCCTTAGTCAAATATTAATGGTGGATCAGTTTACTTGTACGTATAATCACAACTATATAAGCCCCTGGTCTGTCCTTGGGAGTATTGAGGTGTTCAGGTGGTGAAGAGATAACCAGCAGTAGATTTCGTAAAAGGAGTATGATATCATAGCAACCATGACTATCAAATGCCCGATTTGCTCAAGTGGCGAAAGCACAAAAGCAACTGTTTCTCCTCAAGCATCACTTGTCACGCAGCAATAAAGGCACATCCAAACTGAACTCGGAGATGCTGGATTGGGTATCGTTTCGGGAAGGCTAGCTACCTGAACACCAAGCGGCTCTGCATCAGGGGCAGACATGTACGTCACAGCCACTCTTCAAAGAGCCCAGGTAACCCGCGATTAGGTTTGGCGTCCCGTTGGCAATTACGCCAGGACTTGAATGATTGCTTGTTTCGCCGTTTCATGCTTTCTCAAATTCTTTTATTGAGTATTCATGACCGACCCCTTTTTCCCTGGAATCGTGACCTTGACCCGAAAAATGCCATGCTCGCGTACACCGTTCCGGAAAAAAAGTGAAGCCCTCAATCAAAACATCCCTTCGTCCAATTCACCTAGCTATCAAAGCGCATTTAAGCGGCAGTGATGGCACGGCGGACGCGAGCACCGCGCTGGCGGGAGGTAAGGTGGGCCTCCTCGCGGACAACGGACTCGGACTTCTGGACGATCTCATCGGCCTCAGTGAGGATCATCTCAATGTGGCAGGGGTTGGACATGTAGGGGTTGATCTAAACGCGGAATGTTAGCCCATGGCCGGCTGGTTGTCTGCTTGCTGCCGCAGCAACAGAAACCGGGGAGTATATCGGAGGTTAACGTACGCGACCGTGAGCGCGGTAAGTGCGGCGGCGCTGCTTGGGGGCCTGGTTGACCTGGATGTGCTTGACAACGAGGTTGCCAGTGTCGAGACCCTTGGCATCGGCGTTGGCCTCAGCGTTCTTGAGGAGAGTGAGGAGGAACTCGGCGGACTTGACGGGCCAGCGGGCGCGGGTAACACCGAACTGCTTGCCTACATGAAGAAACGGTCAGCACCGTGTCTCCCATATCTGCCATTCGTTTCGCGATTTCGTGTCGATCGATCGTGGTCCTATCATGATGACAATTCCCCCCCTTTCCCCCGCCAATTCATCCTCCACCTTGTCGTTGTCGTCGCATGATGTACCGGTTCGGGTGTATTTGTGCATGTGGATCTCGAGTAGTCGTACCTTGGGAGGCGCGGCCGGTGCCACCAGCGTAGCGGCGCATGGGGACAGCCTCCTTCTTCTCAAGAACGTTCTCGAGGAACTTCTGAGCACGCTGGAGCTTCCAGCCGTTGATGGCCTGGGCGGTCTCACGGGTGTTCTTGAAAGAAACACGGAGGTAAGAGCCGCGCGAGCGGGCGGACTTAGCCGGGGCAATCTCAGTCGCAGCGTACCGAACCTGCGATTTTGAACAAGACTCGGTCAGCGATTCCCTCTCCTCCAAGTGCTCGGATTGCTCGCAAAGCCGTAATTGTCGCCCATCGAGAATTTCGTCGTCATTTCGGCTACAGAAGCCCGCAAACTGTCCTGAAGCAAAATAACGGCGGCAATTCTCGATTTCGGCGGGTTTCGCAGGGATTTACTCACCATCTTGCCTGCTTGTCGATGAGAGGACGGGGAAATCGACCAAGTGTGATGTTCGGAGGTGGTGATGGGTTCCAATTTTGGCGTACAAAAACCGATTTTCGCGATTAGGGCTCTGTGGGCACTGCGCAGGTGGCTCGTGCGGACCGTCACTTTGCCTGAGGCACGTGCACGCGGGGATAGTAAGTGCTAGCGCTGATAACAGCCTGCCGCTTGGACTGCCGGCCGTGCACGATAGCCTCCGCAACAAGTTGGAGA